CCATGATGTTTTCCTCCCAGCCTGTCTCCCGGGCTTGGGTCTTCTACATATTTTGGAGAAACTTAGGCTGAGGACAGACTGGCAGGATGAAGTGCGAGGGAGGTGGGGCAAAAAGACTCGGACCAAGTTGTGCCGGGCATGTTATGCAGTGCGTTGTGTTGAGTCAGCCCGCTCTAGCCAAAGTCCACTTATGCCCTGCTGAGAGCTAACTGTAGCAAACCACGCTGACACAGTCTTGTGGTTAACTATGTACAGTTTTATTTACAATATATACAGCTCACCATCCAATTGCTTCACAAGACTCCGCATAAATGATGAAGGAGAAATATACACAGACTACATACACATATATACAGTAATCAGCCAATCAGCTTCCTGTTGAGTCACAGTGACAGAGCTTTTTCCAGCTCCTGCCTGGACCGGTTAGTTCTGGTTCCTGTAGCTGTCAAACAAACTGTCAGTTTAGATGGACATGATCACTTGTTCTGAAGCCTTACAAGTCAGCACTCCCCCTAAGATTCAGAATTCTGTGATCAGACCTAATCTCCCCCTCAGATTTAAGAACTTGTTTGCCTCTAAACCTTTGGTAAACATGTCTGCTATGTTTTCCTCAGAAGTACAATGCTTTATTGTAGCCAGCTTTCTTTGCACTGTCTCTCTGACATTCTGGTACCTAATATTTATATGCCTGCTTCTTGTCTTGACTCCTTGAGAGTCGCCCAACTGTTGTGCAGCTGTGTTATTACACATTAAAGTCATAGGCATAACACATGACATCTCTAAGTCTCCCAATAACTGTTTCAACCATTCTAGTTGCACAACATTTGTTTAAAGCCGCAAACTCTGCCTCACAAGTGCTCGTCGAGACATATTGCTGTTTTACTGATTTCCACATCACAAGAGATCCGCAAACATACACTACATAACCTGTTGAGGATTTTCCACTTTCTTTTTCACCCCAGTTAGAATCACTGTACGCAACCAGTTTACTTTTAATGGTACCTTTTAAGTATCTCAAGATCTGTTTTGCTGCATTCCAATCTCTAACATAAGGACATGCATTTCTCTGGCATAGCATATGAACAGCATAAAATATGTCTGGGCGGGACCATATTGCCAGATATAACAATGAACCCACTAAGGACTGATACATAGCCTTATTTTCAAAACATTTCCCTTCAGGCTCTTTTATATATCCTGTGGTCATGGAGTTGCTACTGGATGTGCTTCGGTCATGTTGTACTTTTCTAACAGTTTTACAATTTTACCCTCCTGAAGGGAATAAAAGGAGGGATATGGAGAGGGCCGGGAAGAAGGCATGCTGAGACGGATGGTAAAGAGAGAACGGTAAAGATGGTGAGTGAGAGAAGAGGAGGGATATAGTCGCAGCATGCAGACAGAGGGACGTCCGGGGTGCTCTTAACCCCGTCCCCTGTCAGAGGCCCTTCTCCCCCTCCACTTTCCCTGAATCTACCATGCCCTCGAACCGCCCGTCACTCCAAGGCGTGACAGGTACCTCGGAACTACGGCCACCGGGTGCGCTATTCCAAAGGCCAAGGGGGACCACGACAGATATTTATTTCAGTTGTCATATCTCCATTTATCAGAATTCTAGCACTCTGTTAGTGTAAATGGCTTCTACAGTATGGATGAAAGCTTCTCCACAACGGGATATCTTTAAATATTCAATCATAAAGTCCCAGTTGATGTTATCGAACACCTTCTCAGCGTCTAAAAACACTACCGCCAACTGTTTGTCTGGATGCGCCTCTGCGTATTCCAAAGCATTCATAATTATTCTTAGGTTTTACCGTCCCTGTCTATGAGGTAAAAAACCTGCTTGATCTCGGTGAATTATTTCAGCAAGTACTTTTCTGAACCACGATGCTATAATTGTCGTGAAGATCTTATAGTCTACATTCAGTAGAGATATGGGGCGGTAATTTCGAATTTCTTTTGGGTCCGAATCTTTCTTATGTATCAGAGAAATTAGGGCCAAATTCCACAAATCAGGGAGTGTTTTCTTTTGTGGAACCCCTTGTATCACCTGTTTAAATGGGACCGTAAGTTCTTCTTCAAATATTGTATAAAATTCCATCGGGAACCCGTCAGGACCTGGTGTTTTATTTCTCTTCTGTTTTCTAATAGCTTCCGCTATTTCATGGATTGTAAATGCCTGATTAAGCAACTTTTGTTGAGTACTGTTCAGTTTTTTATTATAGGGGTTTTCCTTCAGATACTTTTGAATGGCCTCTAAATCTAACATCTGTTTTCTGTACAGTTTTTCATAAAACTGTTTCGTGATCTCTTTCAGGTCGTGTAAACAGCTTTTTCCCTGACTATGTTTATTTTGTAAGATCCTAATATATCTCTTTTTCCCCTCACATCTTAATCTATGTGCCAACCAACGTGTAGGTTTATTTGAGTTTTCAAAGAAATTTTATCTTGTATATAAAACCTTCTTGGCAATTTCTTGATTTAATAAACAGTTTAACTCATGATGTAATACTTGGATTTTTAATCTAAGTTTGTCTGGTGATAGACACTTTTTAGCATCTTCTTGTTTTTGAATTTGCTTTTTCAACTGGGTTATTTTTTGCTTCTCTAATTTTCTATTATTTATACTTTGTCTGCTAAAGGCCATAAAAATATTTATTTATCCTTAACACAGAGTCAAGGCTTAAGAATGCATCTACCTCACAGGGCTGTTGTGAATAAACTACCTGAGGGACCGCCTTTCCCCACATGTCCCCCAGGACCAGGGCTTACTCGTTGGTGGCCCCGTTCTGGTGGAATTAGCTCCCAGAGATCAGGGCCCTGCGGGACCTTTTACAGTTCTGCAGGGCCTGTAAAACAGGGCTCTTCCACCAGGCTTTCAGAAGCTGCCACCACCACCACCAATAGTTAACGACTGATGGTGGAATGAGAGAGGGCCCTCCCTGGATCCCTGGAATTTCCACCAACAGCCTAAAGGACATCAATCACTGCAAGGACAACTAAAAATGAAGATTGCAAGCCGACTGTGAGTTAAGAGCATGGAACAATGGCTGCCACCATCAATCTAATGGCAACGGCTACTAGCACTTTATTAAGTTAGATGGTTTTAGAATTGTTTTAATTGTAATATATTACAATTTTATCGGTTTTGTAACTTATCTGTTTTTACGTAAGCCGCCCTGAGCCGGCTTTGGCTGGGAAGGCGGGGGAGAAATTTGATAAAGAAATAAAGGATCAAATAAAATAGAGGAAATGAAAACAATGTAAGGTGCTTTGGAGCTCTTTGGTGGGGTGTAAATGGAGCAAATAAAACGGAAGGAAAGAAAACAGCGGATAAAGGCAATCCTCTTCCTTTAGGTGAAAAATTTCTCCTTCTGATGTAAATGGAGAGAGACAAAATCATCTTAGTTACTAAATGTAGTGCTGGAGTTTCGCATACCCTCAGAAAGACCACGTTTTTGCATATCAGACTCCATTCTCCTGAGCGGATGCCCAAAATAAACCAGACGAGGGAGTTCTAAAGCCAAACCCTCCGGTTCAGTTAAGATGGTTATGTGAAGGAAGCCCGTGAACATCACCAGAGTGCACTTTAGACATTTATCTTCTAAAATATATAGATTTTGCACCAGCTACCTGTGTGGGGGGAGGTATCACTTCACCACAGTCCTAACTCGTTCTGATGGCTCTCCCTACAGGAAGAAAGGAATTATCATAAACATGTCATCGATGAGTGGCCGGCGTCCAATGGCAAAACTATTGATGTATTCCTCAACTAAGGTAAGGAAAACCTACTACATCGAAGTAAAACAAGATATTTTTTCGATTTCCAAAGCAGGATCACATCGCAACATAAACTACACGTACAATGAACTTTATTTTCACCAAGGCGGGCTGTGTAGGAGAAGAAGTCCTGCTCGGCCTGTTCCGGAAGGACTTGCCCAACCGGCAAAGAAAGCTTGTAAGGGCTTGAAATCATCCCAGTAAGGCAGAAAAAGACACCGGGCAAAAGCTTCCTTCCTTCTGCCATTTAGTTCTTGCTGACATAATGTACCTTGTCCCTCCTCCATCCCATTGTTGGGGATGGGGTTGCCAGATCCAGGTTGGGAAACTCCTGGAGATTTGGGGGTGAAGCCTGGGGAGTGGAGGGACCTCCGGCGGGGTACAAGGCCATAGAGTCCAACCCCCAAAGCATCCATTTTCTCCAGGGGAACTGATTCCTGGAGCCTGGAGATGAGCCGCAATTCCAGGGGTCCCACCTGGCAGTTGGCGTCCCTAGCTGGGGAAGATTTTATCTGTCTGTCCATTCATCCATTATCTATCTATCTATCTATCTATCTATCTATCTATCTATCTATCTATCTATCTATCTATCTATCATCTATCTATGTCTATCTGTACGTACGTACATTCATCCACCATCTATCTATCTATGTCTGCCCATCTATCTGTCCGTCTGTCTGTCCATCCATCATCTATGTCTGTCCGTCTGGTCCGTCCATCCATCCATCCATCCGTCTGTCTGTCGGTCTGTCTGTCTATCCATCTATCTATCTATCATCTATATATCATCTATCTATCTATCTATCTATCTATCTATCTATCTATCTATCTATCATCTCCCATCTGTCACCCATCTATCATCCATCCATCTATCTATCTACCATCCATCTACCATCTACCATCCATCTATCTTCTTCTTCATCATCATCATCATCCGTCTATCACCCATCTAGCTATCACCCATCCATCTATATCATCCATCCACCCATCATATCATCCATCCAATCTATCTATTTTATTCAATTTGTAACCCCGCTCTCCATTTCAATAAATACAATAAAATCAGTAAAAACAACTACTGTACAATCTAAGATGGCGTAGAACCCACGCGGAGGGGCCATATATCGGCACCTGATAAGAAGGGGGAGAAGAGAAGGAGGGAGAGGCCAAAGCTAGATGAAACCCATGGACAAGGAGCCCATCAGTGCCATCCACCATAGGCCCGGCGGAACAACTCTGTTTTGCAGGCCCTGCAGAACTGTACCAGATCCCGCAGGGCCCTGATCAATCCTGGAAGAGTGTTCCACCAACCAGACACTCTTTGGGCTGGGAACCACCAGCAGATTTCGATCACTCGAGTGTAACGCTCTGCGGGGGACATACCAGGAAAAATGGTCCCAAAGGTATGCTGGTCCCTGGCCGTTTAGAGCTTCAAAGGTCAACACCAAAACCTTGAATTTGATCCGGTCTTCAGTCTGGAGCCAGGGCAGCCAAGAGAGCACCGGTTGGAAATGCGCTCCGAAAGGCGTCCCCATCAGGACCCTCGCAGCCGCATTCTGGACCATTTTCATTTTCCGGATCAAACTCAAGGGAAGCCCTACGTAGAGCGAGTTACAGCAATCCAGCCTGGAGGTGACCGTTGCGTAGATCGCTGTGGCTAGGTCGGAGGGCGACAGGTACGGCACCAATGACTTAGCCTGGCGAAGAGGGTAAAATGCTGGCTTCACCACCTTTGTGACCTGGGCCTCCATTGAAAGGGGGGCATCCAGGATCACTGCCAAGTTCCTGACGGATGGCCCAGCTGTTAGTGGCACCCCGTCAAGAGAGGGGAGCTTGGCAACCCATCCCACCCTGCCCCTCCATCCCAGCCACAGGACCTCTGTCTTCGATGGATTTAGTTTCAGCCTGCTCTGCTTTAGCCAAGCATTCACGGCCTCCAAACCTCTGGCCAGATTTTCTGGGCCTGTCCCCAGCCGGCACTCATCAACAGATAGAGCTGGGCAGGGGTCATTTCCTGCGGGAGTGCACAGGAGCAGAGCTCCGGCAGTAAAGAGTTCAGGGGGTGGGCACATGCAGCAAGCCCCACCCCCTGCTCCAAGCAGCCCTCAGTCAGAGCAAGACGCAGCCAGGTAAGTTGTAGAGCCCCCACCCCGGCCCCCCGGTCCAAAACAGTCCAGTGGCACCTTTAAGACCAAGTTTTATTCAGGTACAAGCTCTCCCTCCTCTGCGAGGACAGATCTGCACGTTCCCCCCCCTCCCCCAATAGCTAGCAATCCAAAACAGTCCAGTGGAGCCTGAGTGGTGGCTGTCCCCTTCTGACACACTTCCGGTGAGATCAGGGGTGGGTGGCATATGCATATGCAAATAAGTTACGCTAATGAGTTATGCTAATGAGCTCCTGGACCTCTTTTTCTATGAAATGGCCCCTGGAGCTGGGTTAATCCGAGTGCTGGTGACACCCACATCCATAATTCCACACCAGCTGGGCAAGGGGGTGCATAAAGATTTTAAATAACATTGGGGAGAGGATTGCCCCCTGAGGGACTCCACATACCAGTGGGTATCCTGGTGAAACCCTCTCCCCTAGCAGATCATCTGTTTAAGGTCATCCGCTAGGAGAGGGAGGGAAAAGAAGAAGAAACACTGGCCTGCAGTTCCTTTTTGTTTGGCGTAGTGGTTAATATTTTCATTACTTTAAATTTTAAACTTGTTTTATTGTAGAAGAAGAAGAAGAGGAGGAGATTGGATTTATACCCCCCCCTTCACTCGGAGTCTCAGAGCGGCTT